CCGCCCCCCGGCCTGAGGGGAAGAGGCGGGGACATGGCGGGTTCTACTTCCGGGCCGGCATTTTCCCTACGTCCGAGGCGGGAAATGGCTGCTGGCCCGGCATCGCCGTTGTTGCCGCCGCCGCCGGGGGAGGCGGGCGCGGAGCCGCCACCGCCGCTCAGCCCTGCCGCCGCCGCCGGCCGGCGGGACCCGCGGGTGCGGTGCTGCTCGCGGCGCAGCCTGAGCGAGGTGCTGGCGCTCTGCGCCCCCTTCGTGCGGGCCCTGGCTCAGGGACAGCCGGGCGGGCCCGCCGCCGAGGGAGACGCGCTCTGGGTGAGGCTGAGGGGGGAGCGGGGAGGCGGTTGTGCCCACAGGCCCGGCCCGGAGCTGAGGCGTCCCGTCCCCTGAGGCGGCCGAGCCCTGAGGCAGGAGGGGGCCTGTCCAGGTGCAGCTGTGTTGTGCCTGCGGCTGAGGGATGGATGGCGGCTCAAGCTCTCCCGTGTCTTGCAGAACTTCGAAACAGCGGTGCGGGAGAACGTTACCATTAACGGGCAGCCCTGGGAGGAGGCCTCGGAGGACGCCGAGCTGCAGAGCAGTACGCGCTGGTTTCCATTCCTTTCCTGCCGGGTGGTTTTGTTTTGGTTTTCCGCGTGTGGCATTTTTAATTGGGTGTTTTTTCCCCTCAGCTGTAAGCGGTGGTAAAGATGCTCACAGAGCAGGTAATGTCGAACTCCAGCTCAGATATGTCCACATAGAGATCTGAAGCGCTGCACTGCAGGGCCATGATTCTTACAGAGCAGTGTTCGTAAAGGAAAAGCAGGGTAACCAAGACGTGTAGGGACCTGTATCCAAGGGAAAAGGGGAAAGTGCTTTATCTGAAGTACCGATGCTTGTTTGACACTTCTGTCAAGATCCTCACAGATCTTGAGGCACAAGCTCCAGCTGTCACTAGTATGGTTCCTACCAAACTTAACTAATCTGTTCTTGATTACCAGAGAAACGTAGCTTAGAGGCTCCTGAACAATCTGGTATTAACAGGAAAAATAAAGGTTACACTAAGTTTAATAGCATCTGTCTTGCCAGAAAATCTACTGCAAGCTCTTAGAAAGTTGGTATTTCAAAGCAAGATTTTACATTTGGGAGGTTAGAAAAAGACCAAGTTCTGTTTAATCAGTTTCTTTTATTAGAATGAAGGGAGTATTCAAAATTTAATGGAGTATGATAAGTTGGTCTAGTTTTAAAGCTAGAACACTGCAACAGGATCACTATATTTGGAGGCTTCACAACCTCTCAGGGCAGTAATTTTCAGTGTTTGACTGCTGTGTTGCTGATAATTTTGGAGCACTTGCCCTGTGAGTTGAGACTGAAGGAACTGGGCTTGTTCAGCCCAGAAAAGACAAGCCAGTCTTCCAGTACCTACGAGGAGGTTACTGAGAATATGGAACCAGGCTGTTTATTGAGGGGCACGGAGGCAAGGGTCATAAAAGGGGAGGTTCTGACTTGATGTAAGAAAGTAATAATTCGCTGTTGGGGTAACTTAGCATTAGAAAAGGTTGTCCAGAGAGTTTGTGTAGTCTTCAGCGCTAGAGGCTTCCAAGAACCAACTGGATGAAAGTCCTGAGCAACCTGGTTTGGACTGGGCATTGAGCCTGCTGTGAGCAGGAGTCTTGGGTCAGGAGAGACCTTCTGAGGGCCCTCCCAGCCTGAGTGATTTTTAGCTAGGGACATTGGCCAAGATATCTTCCTATCAAGAGACCCTAGTGGTATGTCTGTTGCTACTATTTAATAGAGAAATTAAGTAAATTTTTATAATTATTTATATGTAGTAATTTATTTATATATAACATATACAATATTTTTATAATTACTGTCTTTTGAATAATAGTAGTGGAGATTCTTGGTAGTTGTGTGTGTTCAAAGAAAATTTCAGGGCAATTCATTACTCTTTGCCAGTAACTTGATGCTTTGTACAGTTGTACGAAGCCAAAAATACAAATACATTGAACTAATGGTGAAGAAAGAGCTCTTTGAGCTGTTTTTTGGTCAGTAGTGTTCTGCAGTTGTTGTTCTGGAATGATAAAACTCCAGCTCCTTTGACTACAAAATCAAAAATGCACTGGTTTTGCGATGCAAAATGCTGACCTAATCCAGACTTATTCACTAGTTCCAGTTTGCTCAAAAATTCTTGAGAGGATTTATTAACAGCAAAACTTTGTCTAGATAGATGTTATTTTCAGTAAGTTAGCCTTTGTACAAGTCTAACTTTATGCTAGCTGAGATACTGTCATCTGCGTGCAGCTGGTATAAAGGGATGTAAGGACTGTATCATGCTTTTAAATTTGAGATTAATTTACTCATTTGCCTATCTCTGATCCAGTTTGAATCACCAACTGATGTAGGATTTTGCGCCTTTGGTGTTTAAGTTGCCTAGTGGCTCAAGTCTTTCATCTCTGTATTTAAATGATTTCATAGTGATCCTAAAGCAAACAAACGAAACAGACACACAGGCTCTAAAAACCTGAGGTTCTCGGTCATCTGATTCTGCACAGATTGACCAAGAGAGGGTGCTCAAAATCCATTCTTTATCGCTAGTTTGATAGCATTACAGGGCTTGTAAATTGTTTTCAACACCTTAGTGGGGAGAGAGAATTTAAACGCTAATGAGTTTGCAAAATTAAATTAAAAATAAAAAGGCAGCGTTTCAAACCTCCACCAGAGGAGAAAAATTATAGAACTGTGCAGGTGGAAGAATATAGAAATACGTACTACCTTACAGTTACACACAGTTAGGATGTAAGATTGAGTGGTTAATTCTGTTTTCTTCTGTAACTCTGAATTTTTATAATTTTTAATGATGGCATGTGATGTCAGGACAGTGCAGGCATTTACCTGTCTAAATTTTGAAACCAGTTTTAAATTCGTATCTCAAGTTTTAAAATTGTTAAGTTTGATTGCAATCTTGGAGAAGCTGCATACCTGTAGTAGGGTAGCAGTAGTCAAGAGCTGAAAATATGTTCTGGGTATTTAGTCTAATCTTGTAGTTTGAAAAGCAAGCTCTGCAAGTTATCTCTTACCACATACAGGCTTTTGGGCCTCATGCTGAAAGCAGACATGTTTTGGTTTTTTTGCAAACTCCATATGAAGAGTAATTGCAGATGTCCTCAGGATGCAGCGTATTTCCAGGAACTCGGTTTCATTAAGGTGGCATTATGTATTTTCAAAAATTTATAGATGGATTTTAAAATTACATTGCAGATCTGTGCTCTACGTGATACGAAATGAGTTAGGTTTCAAATCACAGCTTGGACGGTTGGTGTTTGTTGAAGGGTTGTGAATTACACAGACTAAACCTGCTGTATCTTGCACTGCTTCTTGTCAGTTGGAAAACAAATTATCGCAAAAGATAACCATTTATTTGTAAGACTTTCTTCATAGATTCAGAGTTCATAGAGAAATAAGTTTGGGATTTTTTTTCCCCAGATGGTTCCCTGCCTCCCCCACCCCACCCCTACCTCATTTACTTCAAAAGTAACTGGCCATTATTGAGTTCTATATTGCCTTAATGAGGAGATCAAGGCAGATGTATTTATTTCTTCATTGATAATCATGCATGATTTCTTATTAAATATCTAAAGCTGTCCTTTTCCTTATACCTTGTCTCAAATTAAAAACAAACAAACCAAAAAAAAAAACCCCAAAATTTAGGAGAGATCCTACAGTAACTTTGTGTGTTTGTCATTTTTAGGTTCCAGCATCAAAATTCTTGAAGATCAATTTGATGAACTAATAGTAGAGACAGCAACAAAGCGTAAGCAGTGGCCTAGAAAGATCCTGGTGCATGCTGTCCAAGTCATGAAAGCAGAGCAAGAGATGTTGGTGAGTAACCTGTTTTTCAGAAGACCTTTGCATGTAGGAACTGCTGACTATTTGTAACTTGAGAGAAGTAAATCTTCAAATGTTGACCTTTAAGCCTTAACCATAGTTGCTTTTGATTCTTTGTCATCTAATGAAATTGATTCTTTGCATTAATTTGCTCTTCAGCAAAATGAGTGTTACTACAAAGTGTTGTGACTGTGAGTGAATTGGACTCGTGGCACAGTTCAGCAAGTTGCTTAAGCAGATTGCTTCAGCGCGATGACTCCTGGTTTGCCAGCCAGTATACACCTATTTATCTTGTCAAATCCAGGTTTCTGAAATCCTTGGCTTGAAGGCTGGATGAAATAGGAAATGTTATGATACATACAGAGAGATAATATCATGTGCAGTAGATGACTGGTAAAAAGATGTCTGTATTTTCCTAAGCACTTTTGTTGAGCTAATGACTACATTGAGTACGTACTTTCTTTCAGTGATGAAAGGAAAAAAAAAAAGGGGGGATTAGTGAATAGGTGTGGTAATTTCTCTGTTTTTTTTGACACTGAATGTAAAGTAATTACTGGCATTAAACAACACAGTCATGTCCTTGGTTACTAAGTGTCTTTCCTGCAGTTACGTTAGGCCTGCCTTTTGCTTACTTGCTGATTAATTATGAGGCAATTTTCTTTTGGAAGGGGGGAGGGGAGAAGGACAAGAGACAATGGGCACAAGTGGAAATGCAGCAAATTCCATTTAACCATTTTAAAAAAGTAAAAATAACTGTGAGGGTAGTCAAGCACTGCCCAGTCTCCATCCTTAGAGGTACCGATGGAGATGACTGGATGAGGCCCTGAGTAACCTGCTGCAGTTGGCCCTGCTTTCATTAGGGGATTGGACTAGACTGTCTTTAGAGACCTTTTCCAACTTCAGCTATTCTATGGTTCCATCCTAAAGAGGATTGGGATTTTTTTTTTTTAACAAAGTCATTTAAAAGCCTGCATTGCACTTCTGAGGATTAGAATTGGCAAAAGTAACTCTCTAGGTTAGCCAAGCATAGATGATCTACAGTAAGTAAAAGTGCATGAGTGTATATTTGTCTTAAACCTGGGATATTTACTAACATATATGGCCTTTTATGATCTCTCTGTTTTGTCAATATATCAAGTATGTAAAACAAACAAACAAAATCAACTAAAATAAAATACACTATTACATAACACCAAGATATAACAAGACTTTTAGTCTTTCTGCAAAAGGAAAACTATGTTCTATCTGAGTCCCAAAGTGGATTAGGTATTTAGAATGCCTCTCATGCTTCCTTTCTTTGGTTGCTGATCTCTTCAAATTTTATATCACCACAGCTAGATGATTATTTTAATTAAACATGTCTGCAAAATTAGAAAGTTTTTAGTTTATCTCTGTCAATGAAGTGGCTTTATTTTTTCCCCTCAGCTACTTCTGCGGAGGTACTAGCGGTTTCTCTACTTTTGCTTGAGGAATTCTAATTTTGTTATTTGACCCTAGCTACTCTTGTGATGCATCTTTTCTGAGGCATAAAGAGCAGCTATGAGGATGCAGTAATTAACTACAGTTTATCTGGAGAGAACCATTCATTTAGTGTGGTTGTCTCCCTATAATTGCCAAAGCAAGAGATCATCCTGTAGCTTTTCAGTCAATATGTTTTGTTATGTTTGAGGATAATGCAAGCAATTATTGTTCTTCTGCTTGGAGCTGTTACTGTAAACTTGCTAAGATGATGCCTGAACTGTGAAAAAATTACTCTGGTATAAACTACAGGGAGGAATAATTCACTTTCCTCCTACTTGTTTTTGGGTAAAGAAGGTTGAGGGACAGCTCTTGAAGCGGAGAAAAATACTAACTTGCAGATGGTACGATTTAGGTTTCCATGTCTTTGCTTTATTTTCTCCTTCCACAGTAGTTATTTCTAATTCCACCTTTAATATAACTAAATATTAGTTGTACTCATTATTTATTATTAGTTGACTTAATGTCACAATTAACTGATGTCAAGTCACGAGACTCACAGTAGGACCAAAGAGCCAGAGAGCCCAGTCTGTGAAGGAGAGTGTTCTTATTCGTGCATAAATAATTGCAGGGCTAGAATGCAGTCATTTAAATAGTTTTCTTTTTCTTAGCTTTTTGTCTTAATGTACCCTTTGTTCGAGTTTGCCCCTCAGTGAAAGCGTACTGTTTTTGTGAATGGCTCCTTAGAAGCCAGAGCAGCTCTTTTTCCTCAGTGGTGCAGCAGGTGGCAACGCTTCTTCCAAAATGCCTGGATTTCAGTTTAGTTCTCATGCTTTAATAATTACAATTCTGCAAACTAAAACTGATTTTGGAGACATGTTTGCAGTGAACTTTAACTGTATTAACCAGAACACTATTTCCAGTAATATTGAGTATCTATAACTGTACCTCTAATACATTCTTTTTCTAAATAATTCCGCTGCCATCTCATTGTATTAGCCTTTCTCCATTGTTCTGACTGCTGTGTGTGTATTAGATATCTATTAAACTAAGAGGGTATTTCAGAATTTTCCTTTTTTTTTTTTTTTTTAATATGCAGAAGCTCTACCAGCCTGTTGTAGCACCAGAAGAGATAAAGTCACAGCCTTCTCAAGGTAAAAGATTTGTGGGGAGGGCAACTATACTGAGGAAACACTGCCTACATTGCTGCCTAGCTGTAAATGTTTAAGAAGCTTGCTTTAAACTTTATTTTATAAACTTTTTTTATTGAGTGTTTAAATAATTAAAATAGCTAGAAGTTTGTAATAACAATGAATTGTGGTATCAGTTTGTTCTACCTGTTTTTCTTCTAAATGTTGTCTGCTGTTAGGCACTGTTATTAAAGGCAAAAGCTGGTCGCTGTGTGATACTGGGTAGGAATTGTCACAGAGCTACCCTCAATAGGTTTCCTTACTTCTTTAATCACCGCTAGTGGAGCCCAGATGGGGAACTGAATGGATCGCTGACATTATACTTTGACCGTTCATGTGTTCCTTTTACATGAATACTAGAAATGCTTCAGTCTCTCTTCCTAATCAGACAGTTTCTTCAGGGAATTGAAAGCAGTGGTGTAGTACTCAGGAGGGTCAACACTGTCATCACTCACTTGCAAAGTAGGCATCAGGTTTTGTCCTGCCAGTGTCATTTGTAAAGGTTGATGAAGAAACAAAACTGCAAACAACATTATAAGTTTGCTATGTATACATTCATGTATAAGGAATGTATACATTCCTTATATAAACTCTTTGGAACAAGGTGGTGTATTTTGCAGCTGGTGATTGGGATGATTTTTGTTTTGAGGCTCGCCTTAAGAAATTGAAAGTTTTATCTTGCTTGTTCTGAAGTATTGAAAAAAGACAGAATTTATCAATGCTGTTCTAAGTGGCGAAGCGTGGTTGCAGAACCCTCACTATGAATTACTGCACGTGCTGTAAAGCTGGTGTAATGAGCAGAGGTGTTAGAGAAGCTGAGCTTAATCTTCCATTTCTCACCCTGCTGATCTGACTTCACCCTAGGCATCATTTCCCCTTTGTAAACAGGAGACATTGCTTCCAGAAATGCCAGCCTGTGCAGCAAAGCAGCTAACGGGAGCGGTAAACAGCGTCACTTCATATCTGTGTTTCTTTTGGTTTCTAGTGTTTGGATCCATGTTTTTCTGATGTGAATTAACTGCTGCTTGTAAGTCAGTAACAGCTTGCACCATGGTCTTGCCTTTTTAGGTTTGGTACCACCAGCAAAGCCCTAGCCAAGATAGCATAGAGTTTGTGCTGAATTTTAGTATTATGTAGTCTTTGGGAAGTTTATGTATCCCAGTTTAGCAAGTACAGTGGCCAGAAACCAAAAATGTTTAGATTACTCAATACCTTTCGTTTCCTTTTTTCATTTCCCTATGTTTTGGAAAGCCTTGAACACTGAGGAATATAATGCTGTCCATGTCAAGCTGAACTGCAGGCAAACTTTATTTAACTGTGTCAGTCTTTATGTATAACTGGAATAATCCAACTAATCATTTTTACTTTTACTAAATTCCTTCCCTGCCATTTCATAAGGTCACCAGTCTTCTAATCTCAGTACTCTAACAACGCTTCATTATAGACATATCCTTCTTTTAGAGCATGTCCATTCATGGGCCTCTGTGGTGTGATCAAAGAGGCTGCTGTTGGACTGTTTTTTCCTCCCAAACTCTGAGTGATGTTCCATTTTAGCATTCACGTTCATGCACAGATTGTGCATTCTTAAACCCTGTCTGATCAGCACATTGGACGTGCAGAGAGACAATTTAACAGAACACCCTCTCTTCTTGCCTACAATGTTTCAGCAGGGGATCACTGTCACCCTGTGCTAGAATACAGTGATTGACTGACATTGTATCCTCCTGCAGGCACCGGTAGGGGTGAAACCCTACAGGAAAATAACAGTAGTGGAGGTGAGGCTGCTCAGTTGCTTATCTGCTGAGCTTAAGTTTTTGTTGATGGCATAGCATCACAGATAACAATAATGGTGGAAAACATGCAAAACAGTTTTATAATAACTTAGAGTTTAACTCTTGAGTACAGAATTGATCAGCAAAAATGTATATTGTGTTGAAGATATTACCATATTGCTACTGCAATCAAATACATGCCATTTTCCCCGGTATTCTGCACCTGCTGCCTGCTTCACTGTTCCTGAAGGCTTCTTTTTCTTTCTTTTCTTATTAATCCCAAAGAATTAATGCAGTTCATTTTGTTTACACTTGGTTTTTATTCTTGGTGTTAATGCTTGGTAAGTTAAGCCAGGAGAAAAATGTAGCCTTTATTGTAAAAGCTGACTTATTGGAGCTGCAAGATTATTTCTCTCCCACTCCCCAAAATGAGTTTCCTTCATCTCATTTTGTCCACGGTTGTGTTTATTCTACTTCTTCTGTGTGTTACCATCAAATGTAATATGAGCTTGAAAGGTTTGAAAACAGATATTTTCTTTGTTTTTTTTTTTTCTTTGTAAGTGTTCTCTTCCTTTATGTCAGATGCTGTCTTTGTGTCTCATGTTTTGTATAAACTGTAGGTTTTCTAGTGAAGAGCTTTGTGGCTTGCTGTAGTTGAGGCTACTACGTTTTGAGTGCTAAAGAGTAATGATAGTAAGACAAAATACACAAGCTGTTGTCCTCAGTGCTGTAATGAAAGGGATGTGTTGTAGGTTTAAGTGTTATACAGGGACTCTACTGCTTTTCCATCCAATTTCTAAGAATGCCAAGTATTGGGGGGAGGGAGTTACATTTCAGAAGTTTATTTGGGCTTTATGGTTTTTTTGTAGATGCTTACATCGCAGATCTGAAGCAGGTGACAGAAATGGCATCCAAAGAGATCAGTGGGGCAATGAAGGTGAGATCTGTGTGCTGCAAGACGATGCTTTTTATTTTATTGATCTGACAATATGTCATGAAACAGGATTTTTAGCTTATCTTGGTTATAATTTTGTACAAAAAAAGCCTGCGTGTGTACTTTGGAAGCAAGTACAACTTTAGGTTTGGACTGCTGAAGTTGTATCTGTAAAGCATTCACCCTCACATGGTAGTCAGGAAGATTACCCTCTGGCTGTAGGAACTATTTTTTACAGAGATTTTTTAGAACCTGCAGCATCTGGAAAATAAAATATCTTTTGAAGACCTGTACAACCCAATATAGTGTATGACATTTATTACTTCAGTACCAGCTTAGACGTGAACTGTGGTGTTCCAGTGGTATTTATTCAGCTTAGAGATGTAATGAAGGAACATTCAAACTTGGTATGCTCTTTGCATGGCTTCTGAGTGCGGACCCTGGTGGGTTGGTAGCTCCGAGTTCCCAACCTTCGCCTGCCATCCTAAGGATCATCTCTGCTACGCTGAAGCTGTTGTGCTTGTCAGATCTAATTAACTCATTTCATTCATTGTAACCATGACTTTTCCCCTGTAACTTGAGGTACTTGGGTTTGTTTTTGCAGTCTCTCCCAGCGCTAATAGAAAGAGCAGAAGGTTTTTCCCAAGCGTTAACTTGGCAACCAACCCTGGAACTCAGCAGGCTGCGGCAAGAAGTCTTTGCTGGGTACAAGGCAAAGGAGGAAAATAATGTCCAAAATTTCATAGCACCGGGAGAAGTCACACCACCAGACGCTGGTACCAGTAAAACTTGTGTTTTGCTAAAAAGAAAGCAAGCTGTAGGTTCACCAGAAAGAAGACGCTACCCACTCCGGCGGAGGAAAATTGTTCTCAGCGCATGAATTTCTCGTATTTTCAGTATTCAGTATTTTCAGACTGGAAACTCAGTTGTACTCTTGTTCAGTGTGCTCAGTCTTTTTTTCTTAAACCTTCATCTCCCCTCTAATTTTAGTGCTATTCATGGGAGCTCTCTAAATTATCTAGTCTTTGATCCTCTTAAATACTTCTATTTTTACTGTGACGCTGATGGTATATGAAAGCCTACGCAGAGCGGTAGCATCTGATATCCAACAAGTGTATTTGCTGATCAACTCTTTTATTGCAGCATTTAGCTGGAGTCCTCGTGCTTTATAAAGCATGTGCACATGCTTTATGTATGTGAGCAATCTTTTAGTCAACGACTGAGTGCTCGTTTACATTAAGCTTGCACCTTCATTTATTACTGAGTTGGGTGGCTATTTTTTTTTTTTTTAAATAAATGAAAAAGAAATTCACACCGGAGTATATTGAAGACACCAAATTTGATACAACATTACAGTTTTTAGAAGACCCACACAGGCATGTGAGGTTGGTCCCTGCTACTCCATCCTTCCTGAATTTAGGTCAACTGGGCTTTATAGTCATGTTTGTTTAAACTGGGATTTTTAGTCGTCGTATGTGTTTACTTGCACTGTGCTCTTCTGAACAAGGATTTGACCATCCACGTTTTACCATCTGATATTTCGTTTCATGTAATGCAATTATGCAGTCTGGGGGTTTCCTGGACAATATTTCTACACATTACAGGATCTTGACTTGGGTCACATACGCATTTGTGATGTTTGACTGTGCTTTAAAGATCGGTATAGGCTACCAGTAAATGGTATTAAGTTGAGCTAGCTTACTACTTTTTTTTTTTTTTTTCCTCCTTTACACATGAGTACCTAGAGGATTGCACAAAGTACTAAACTGAGCGTTGTGCCTTAACTATTCCTGACTTTTTCTGGTTTATGATTGCATGTGCTTGCAGTAAATACTCGTGTCTAGTATGTAACGTATTTCTCACACAGTAAATGGAGGGTTTTTTTTAGGAGCTTTATTAATGAAATGTGCTGTGGTAAGAAGATAGGTGCAACTTAACGTCTAAGAGACTGAAAATTTTCAAGAAAACCTGATAGGTTTTAGCACCATTTATTTTGTAAAGGTGAGCATCTGTACTGAAACTTTATATATTTATCATATGTAAATATTTGTTTCCCATCGCTCTTCTATATACAAATGTGTGTTTTTATACAAAGTAAATAAAATCAATTAAGGAAGATCAAAGTTTCAGATAATGTTGTCAGTTCTAATCCTGGAATAGATGGTGACTGAACAGTGAGTGTACTTCTGAAGACATCTGTGTTAAATTTTGGCTCAAGTAACCAAAGTAGTTCCATTTACCGCCTTTGAACTCACAACTGTTGTTAATCTCAGGGCTACAAAGCATCTGATGTGAGAGGGGACAGGATGTGAGAGGGACGGGAGCAGCGAAGCTGTGGAACGTGTGACTGGGACGGTTTGTCACACAGCCACTTGCTGTTCTAGTGGCTTTGAGAACGCGCGCTCCGTGCTGTGTTGAAAATCCCCATCATGGCTTCCTTAACTGAGATTCACAGATGCTCTTTAATCTGAGTGTTCCTAGACTGATGACCCCCGCAAGATTTTGCGTGGCTGCCATGTAGTATTTAAACATTTTTTTGTGTTAATAGGAAGAAGATTATCTGCTATTCTCTGCGAATAACAATGGGCAAGTACAGAAATACCTAGGAATAGGCACATCTCTTGGAAGTGGTCCCATCAAAAATGGTCAAGGTAGGACAAGTGCCTTATGAAATAAGGAGGGGGAGCACCATGGATTAAGACTTAATAAGCGAATTAATGAATTCACCCCACAGTGAACGTTAGCATTGGATTGCAGGGACAGTTGGTGTGCATGGGATTTGGGGTCTGGAGAACAAGTCTTATGAGGAGCAGCTGAGGGAGCTGGGGTGTTCAGCCTGGAGAAAAGGAGGCTGAGGGGAGACCTTATTTCTCTATACCTGAAAGGAGGTTGTGGAGAGGTGGGGGTCGGTCTGTTCTCCCAGGTCACAGGTGGTAGGACAAGAGGAAATGGCCTCAAGTTGCGCCAGGGAAGGTTCAGATTGGATAGTAGGAAAAATTTTTACACGGAAAGGGTTGCTAAGCGTTGGAATGGGCTGCCTGGGGAAGTGGTTGAGGCCCCATCCCTGGAGGCATTTAAAAGACAGGTTGACACAGTCCTTAGTGTCATGGTTTAGTGATGGTTTTTAATCAGAGTTAGGTTGATGGTTGGACTAGATTATCTTAAAGATCCCTCCCAACCTAGACAATTCTATGATTCTATGCCCAGAACAAGGGCAGTCAGGCCTTGTTCCATGGCCCTGGTTTCAACGGCTGGTAAAGCTGGCCAAATAAATAGTGTAAAGAAGGATAAAGAAAACAATCAAGATTCCACTTGCAGCATATAAACTGTGAATTTACAAATCTCTGATGGCTACTTTTGGCCAAGCAGCAGTGGAAGGTGTCAGAGGGCCTTCCCTTAAATGCAAGTTCTGTCATGAGCTAAACTCAGCGCTTGAATGTTCAACTGTTTTTCAAGTTATTATTAAAAATCTCTACAACAAGTAATATCTGCAACTAACCATGCCTGGGATCTGTTCTTCCCACTAGATATAAAATACTTCATTTTTTTTTTCCCATTCCAGTAGCCTTTTGTCCTTCAGTTAACTTTTCATAGAAATCAGCGGCGTTGTGCAAGACGAGCGTCTAATTGGGCTTCTACTGAGGTGTCACAACATCCAAACTTCTTATTTTTAACTCAAGGCCAATTGGTATTGCATCAAGAAATGTCTGGTAGTTTTTCTTTATATAGCCTCTGAATTTTGTAAGACAGCTCAATGGAGATGGATGCTTGGGAACGTTTGCAAACTGAGTTTGAATTTCTTGGCTTTTTGGGGTGAGGTGGAACATCTCAGTGTTCGTTAGCGTGTGCTGTCGCTCATGAGGGTGGGCCATCCCTACCCAAAAAAACCTTGCGAATTGGAGCGGGATCCACACGCACTTTTGCTGCGTGTAATTTCTGAACAAAAGGGACTACAGTGTGCAGGGAAGCTCCTCTTCCAGAAATCTTCTTGTGGACACCGACGTCTGTTTGGAAGCTTGGGTGTGCTGGTGCTCTGAAACCCGGTTCTGGTATGTGCCGTTCTTCAGAAGAGCTGGGCTGTGCTGTGCTGCGCTCAGTCTGAGTGTGTGTAGGCTGCTTCAGCACAGACAGAAGTCACTGATAAACTGCCATTATAAAATGTAGACTCAGCTGAGTAGACAGCTTTCTGGGCTTGTTTTCTCTCCCGCATAGAAACGTTCTGCCTCTACTGCTGTGTTACCTGGAATTACTGTGTAGGCATTTCTGCAGATGTACCAGAGATAGCTTTAATACTGAGCAGAAACTTGTTCCCACAAGCAAATTTTGACTTTTCGTTTCCTTTGCCACTTTGAACAAGAGCAGACTGTACTCAGGCTCAAGGGGACCGTCCTGTGACTTGGCCTGTACTCGTGGGATCCTGGAAACCTTACTCTACAGCGGCCATGACTTATTCGATGAAGTAGATATTTATTCAGTGCTAATAAATTCTTGGTAGGCTGCTCAGAGGGTGCTGTTAGATAGCCTGCTTGTGCAGTTGCCATTAATGGCTGCATCGTTCCTGGAAAAGCACAAGAGCTTTGTGTGGGGTCAGTTGGAAGTCCCTCCATGGAAGGGGGCTTTTTTTCCCCACGTATCACTCCGAAGGGCTGTTGAGGTATTTTGTCCGCATGGCTTGTAGATTTTTTTGCAAGAGAATATACCCATGCCCCGAGTTGATGAAAATAACGGGCTTCTGGTCCTGTTTATTTCAACTGTGCTTAAGCTACAAAGGCAGCAAGGAGCCCAGTGCTGTGTTTTTAAGCAACTGCCCCCCAACTAAGTCTCTGCTCACGTCCATCCTTCTACTCATAGAATCATAGAATCATACAATGGTTCGGGTTGGAAGGGACCTCAAAGATCATCTAGTTCCAACCCCCCTGCCCTGGGCAGGGACACCTCCCACTAGAGCAGGTTGCTCAAGGCCACATCCAGCCTGGCCTTGAACACTTCCAGGGATGGGGCATCCACAACTTCCCTGGGCAACCTGTTCCAGTGTCTCACCACCCTCAGAGTAAAAAATTTCTTCCTGATATCTAATGTGAATCTTTTTTCTTCCAATTTAAAACCGTTTCCCCTTGTTCTATCATTACCCTTCCTGGCAAAGAGTCCCTCCCCAGCTCTTCTATAGGCACCCTTCCGGTATTGAAAGGCCGCTATAAGGTCTCCCCGGAGCCTTCTCTTCTCCAGGCTGAACAATCCCAGCTCCCTCAGCCTGTCTTCTACTCCTTTTCTTTTAACTGTGGGATGTGCAGTTAACACAAGGATGGCCTGTTTCAAAGGAGCGTTTGAGAGCATTTCACCCTCTAATCGCTCGCCACTGGGTGGCTGCCTTCCAGGAGATGAGATCCCCTTGGCTGGAGAACTGCACTGAACCCACGCCTTCTGCCACCTCTGTGAGCACCCCCCTTGGTGAGCATCCTCACGTCACCTTGGGTGATGGAGGAAGGGAGAAGCAACGACTGCTTTTAAGAAAACCAGGAGGCTGGGAACATCCTGTAAGATGCTTGGGAGACCCAGCGCAGTCTGGGGATGCAGATTAGGGCACCTTGGCAAGGTTGTCCACCCAAGTTGAGTCCCTGTGGCCATTAGGGTGGGGAAGACTCACAGGTACTCACTCCTCAGGGGTCAGATGTGCCCTGAGAAGGTGCAAAAGCAAAGGTGGGGGTTGCCTGGAAGGTGGAGACACAAGCTGCTTTGGGGGTGGAACGGCAGGGAAGTCCTGCTCAGGTTTTCCAGTAATGGTGATGGTCCCGAAGCCTACCAGGAAAGCTGTGACAGAGCACAGACTTTGGTTTGACTCTTGGGCTCCCGGCCAGTGCGGTTCTCTTGCCTTCAGTGTGACCTGTGAGCCAGACCTTCCTGAAAGCATAGCCTATATTTACTCAGTTTACAAACTCTGTAACCTCATCTTCATCTCTGCTGGATGACTCAAACTTTTGGGGAAACCAGAAAAATAGGGAAGTATCCGATTTATTAAGATACCTGGGGCTTTATGACTGAGTGCCTGGCAGTTTGGGGGTGCTTCACCTTCCTGGCATGGATTTGCCCCTGTGAGTTGAGCACAGCCGGGAGCCACCACATACAAATGCACCTACAGTAGAGCAAGGATGTTGCTGAAGTACCTGGAGGTGCAGACACCTTCCCTTCCTTCAGAGTGGAGGGGCCAAGAGAATGTAAAATGTCAGGAAAGCGTTTGGAGTGGTGGAAGAAACATCCTTCAGTCTGTTAAAATACTCTCCTCGGGACAGTTGCCCGGAGAGATTTTTGCCTGCAGCAGCCGCGCTCCCGGCGATCCTTGTCCGGCTTCGCCTTTACCAGAAGCCCGTGCCATTTCCTTATTATTTAAAGGAACAGGGCGAGTAGCGAAAGTGAAAATCGCTGTATCCCGGCCCCCGCGCCGTGTCCTCCCGTCCGAGCCGGCTTGTCACGGCGGCGGAGGGAGAGGGAGAGCACGCCACGGCCCGAAGCCCATGTCGCAGCAGGAGCGGCCGGGGGTGAGCCCGAACCCGGCACCGCCCGG